ATAGTGTAAAGCGCATACAGCCTGCTGTTGAGCGGGGATATGCGCTATACAAATGCTATCTATTATTATTATTATTATTATTCAACTCAATTTCATCAAGATAACAAGGTGTGAATCAAAGTCTTGTCCACTGCATTCTCTTTGCTCCAGTGCAGAGAAGTGTATTGACACAATAACGGTTTATATGGTGAAAAAATACAAGAAAGGCAGACACACAGACAAAAAACAACAGAGGAAAAAAAAGAAGCAGGACATACCATTAGCCCCCAACCAAAAAAACCCCAGTCTTCTGCTTGCATGGCCAAGAGCCTAATACGGAGTGCCCACTAGGGAAGGGATCGGCCGATCGGCCTGATCGGCCTGATCGCCCGACTTGATCACCTCAAAAAACAATTTTCAGTTTCAGACGATCGAATTGGGCGATCGGCCCGATCCAGCCGTAGTGGGCACCCCATATTACAGTTACGTAATTGAAATAATATAATATTGGAAGTCATACATCACACTGTGGTAAACGACTGGGGACAAACCTTTTAAGAAATCCTCCCCAAGACCATGCACGGAGGAATCCTGGCGGGGAAGAGGTTCCTCCACCATGTCCCGAGACATCAAGGTTACAGCTGTGCAAAAAGATATTTGAGTAGTTTGAGTAAAGAGGAAATGTAGATGCACTGCATTATCAAGCGTTGAAAACACAGAGTTGGTAGGAAGGGTCTTGATTGATTTTCAGTCAGAGAAAATAAATGAACGATGTTAAAAGCATACTTTTTTTGCTTCTTAAAATGGCTCATTATTTCGTCTCGAAGGCTTCCTCAAGAGCAATTGTGAGAAAAGCTAACAACAGCGCTGGGTATGTACATATATATGAAGGAAAGAGACTTAACAAAGGAGGTCTTAAAGTTATTTGTAGTTACCTGGCGAGATAGACATTACTCATTGTGACCCACATCAAGGGGACTACTATAAACAAATCAATGACATTCTAATGCATTATCAGTGATGATTATTTAGCGCTGAGGAAACAGCAAGACAGAAGAACAGACAGATAAAGCTGACAAATAACATAAAGTATACGCGATTACAGAATGGATTTTTCTCTTGGAAAAATATGTTTGTTACAGATATCTATTTCGTGTTCGCGAGCGAATAAAGCACAGGGCAATGTGGGAGATTTTGTTTGCTGATACATCTAAACTGAAAAAGCAGGTTTACAGGGGGTGAACAGCTTTATCATCTTTCTGCTGTACAACAGTAATTGATATTTTGGAAAACATAATCCGGATGAATATTCTAGCTTTCGGTCAGTTTTGATGTCAATGGAGTCATAAACAAAAAAGTTAATAATTACAAATTTCTTTGAACAAACTTTTTTTTCTGGTCAGCTGGTATGTGTATTAGCATAATATGGACACTGTGTTAGTTCAACCGTAGCATAATATTCACTATTAGTACAATCTTGAAATTGTATGCACTTTCTTTTAGTACAACTTTAACATTGTATATAGACCTACATTTTCTATCAGTACCGTACAACCTTGACATTTTACGTATGAACTTTTAGTACAACATTAGCACTGTATGTGTATTTCATTTACTCTTAGTACAATCAAAACATCGTGTGTATTACCATTTGAATGACACTGATAATGTAGCCTCTTATAACCTTGACATTGTGGATAAGCAAAATCTTGACACAAAATAAATTACTAGTACAACCTCGGCATTGACTAATTAATTCAAAGAAGACATCACCTGGAAATGGCCATTTTCAGATTAAATTATCGACTGTAATTGATAACAGCTCTGGCTAATTCAGCCATTTATGTTCTTAAACATCTGCATAACTTGTCCTTAAGGAACAATAATATCAGTATGAATTTAACCTGTTGGGACTGTGATTATCCATTATTTCTATGCCTTTTTTTTTCTTAAAAGGAAAGCAATTTCTAAAAATAAACTATTTTTAAAAGCCTGTTGGCTTGTTTACTCGAACTGGTTGCACATATAAATTGTTATTCAGCACAATAAATAAAATGTTTCACAATAAAAAGTCAAATTTAAAAAAAAGATTTTTAAAGAAGTATAAGCTACCAGACATCGTCCAACCACGCTCTGTGGATAAAGTTACACAGGTCAGTCTCTGAAAGTTGATTAGTGAGGTAGGTAATTCTTATACCATCAATGTAAGATAATCTTCACAGTTGTATGTATAATAAGCACAAAAGATGCCTATGACATAATCATATAACACACACAAATTCAGACACACACACATACATATTAACAAAAAAATCCCAACTTCACCCCTGTACTCAAGTCTTACCACACAAATAAATGGACATACAGACAAGACATCAACAAACAGTTGAAGGTAAATGTTAAAGTAAACAAACAATCTTACATCCTTTCTAAAATGCATCTTCATGAGAGTCTGTAACTAGATTACAGGCACATAAACAATTGAATTGCAAACAAACCCAAAAAGAGAACACAACACACATCTTTCTCTCTCTTACTTTTTGGCATCTCCGAGAAACTGCCACTTCGGGAAGTCTCACTCAGATAGAAGACAGTCCTGCTCTCTGATTCAGAAGAGTTGCTTTGCTGTGTTTCAGATTCAGCAGCCACTGAACGTTGCAGTTGTGTCACAGAGTCTGGCAAACAGAAACACTTGTGGTAACGAAACAAAGTTCTTTGATTTTAACCCCTTGAACCCTCCGTACTATAAGATCAGTATGGCCTCAACGCTGCAAATACACTGGGTTATCGTAATATTGCTATGAAAAACCCACCGAAATACAAAGTGTGCTTGCAGAAATAGACCTCAAATTTAAAAGAGTAGCATCAATAACCACCAGTACAGAGATATTACAGCCAAAAAAATTAGAGAAATAAGTCAGAGCAACACATAAATCAGACATAGAAAAGTACACCTAAATTTTAAAAATTAATTAAATAACTCAGGGCCCTGAGGTACAGCCCATTTAAAGCCTAGGAGCCCAGGGTTCAAAGGGTTTAAGAGTTTAAACAAGTAGCAAAATATATCCTAACGAGAGGCCTTTCCTTGAGCCAGACTAGAAGTCAGTGGTCTCAGCGACAGAATTTTGTGTAGTTATGGCGATAACAGAACTCCAATGTTGAAAAGATAAAGAGTCAGATAAGTAAGACTTTAAGAAAACTGAAGACAGAGTAAGCCCAGAGGAAGGCAAGTAAAGGACAGCATGTGTGACAATGTGTGACCTACATTAAAACTGGTAAATACAGAACATGTGCAGTGGATCAACATTAGCAGATGCATCTAGGCACCCACCTTTTGAATAACCGAATAGTGTTGATAGGGGTTATAGACCTATGCCATTTTTGGAGGGGGGGGGGGGCATCAAGGCATAGAATAAAGAAACTACAAATACAGTTGAACCTCCTTTAAGTCTAACGACCACCTGAATAAAATAATCACCTGTACAAACAGCCACTTCACATTTCCTCCCTTACATATTTTTTACGTTATGCGCCAGGATCTGGACAATAAAGATGTATCTTATCTTATCTGCAAGATGGTCACCTAGATGGACAATATTCTCCTCCACAATGGCTGTCCATCTTTAGACATTTTCCACTGTATGTTTTTAAAAAAAATTGACAATTGACCTAAGACAGTCAACAAGAGTCCTCCACACTTCACCCACCATCATTGTCATCCTCACTGGCCTTTGTGATCTCCAAGAACCACTTTGGCTCCTTGGTTTCCTGATCAGTCTTGACCATCGGCGCCACCTCCGAGTCTCCCAGGAACTCGAAGGTCATGGACGTCTTTTTCACAAAGAAAGAAACAGAAAGAGAATATTTATGTAAATATGAAGAAAATTCCACCCTTCCCCCTCTTTGTTTAATTTTTCTCTTTCATAAGGTAGGTAAGACGGAGCACTTGAAAAATCTCAGAGGTCACATGTGAACACTGCTCACATGAAAGATCCCTTGTTGTTTTCTATACAACAATTAAATGAGGGGAATATAAGAACGCATCAACTAAGCTCTGAGCAGAAAAGCCCAAGAAAAGCAGGGGGTGGGGGGGAGAGAGAGAGGGAAAGAGAGAGAGAGGGGGGGGGGGGGGGGGGGCTGTTGGGTCCACTTTAAACAGCACTCTCAAACAGTATTAAACTATAAAAGCATACAATGTTTTCACATTTTTGCATGAAACTTTCAAGGTGAGGCAGACACATTTTAAAAGGAGCAGATGAGGAAAAGAAAAACACTAAAAAGAAGTTGATACCGAGGACCACCGCAGACTGCCTACCAAGGTCCCCAGCAAAAAAAATTAATACCACAAAAAAAATCTTAATTAAATAAGTAATTGTGAGTGCTAGCAAAGACATAGTATACTGCATCAAGGTCATCCTAAATCTCTTTTCAACTTCTCAAAAGGTTAAAAATATTATCAGTCACTGTCATGGCACTTGACCTTGAAGTACCAGGCAGTTATCAGTACTTGTGAGATGCTATCAAAATAACTTCCTTTTCACATCTGCTTTAACTTTTTCTAACACCTGCTATCTAATCATTAGCAAACAGCAGATACTCTCTGCAAACAAGCACCTCTCAGATAATGTGTGAACAGTGATGAAAAATTGACAGTCCAACTTTTGAGTGAACAGAAACAATAAAGACCAATACATTGAATAGTCCCATATTTTTCCAACTCCCGATGTGCTGAAAAGATTATGCATTATATTTTTGTCTGTAGAAAGAAACGTGCACATGAAATAATAGATAAAATAAAAAAGTAGACAAACAAAGAAAAAGAGAAAAATTAATAACTCAACAAGAAAAGAAGACTCATGAAAACACTCAAGGGGTGAACAGGTATGCAATAGGCATTACAAAGAAACACAAAGAAAAAACAATTAGTGACGTATTAATAAGGTAAAAAGGTTTTATCAGCATAAAACAAATGTGTGCTGAGACCTCTAAAAATAAAACTGTCAAGGTTTTATCAGCATAAGACAAATGTGTGCCAAGACCTCTAGAAATAAAACTGTCAAGGTTTTATCAGCATAAAACAAATGTGTGCCGAGACCTCTAAAAATAAAACAATATCATTGAGTCCTATATCTCATCATTACATTGCAGGACGGCTGAAAACAGTTGATAAAATCTGTTTTATTATTTAATACATTTCCCTAATAAGAACTAGAGAGACAGCACAACAGTGGAGCTATGGCGCCTACCTCTCCTGGTCTGTAGAGGGTAAAATCATCTCGGAAAACTGGGATCTGGTTGCCAACACTCTCCAGGTACCCAGCATAAATGAGAGCTTGGCCAATAGCCATGGCTTGGTCCCTGCATGGATAAAGAAACATGAAGATAAAGACACAAACTTATACTCAGACTACAGTGGCACAATGCCAGATAAAAGAATAAGTTGAATGAAATTCAGTTCCAGTAATTGCAGAACACACTGTACATTAATCTATCCTGTCAAGCTGGAAGTCTGCAGTGAGAGAAAAGATTTTTCAAATGCTTTATGATACTATGAGAAAGCATCTTGCAGAGGCTGTCAATAATACGAATAACACTTCTTCAGTAAGTATTCTTGGTACCACATTACGTCGCGCAAAGGGAATAGTTGGTGGTGACATTTCCTTTACGGCCACTTCACCTTGAACTGTGCAATCTCATCGAACACATAGCCACAGAATGAGAATTTCATCTTTTCTTCAGAGGGCAAGAAATCAGTTTAATTTAATAAAAAGTTTTACAGAATTTGCTGCACAATTTATTCGTTTAAGGGTTGAAGATCAGAAAAGTTACTAGAGAGAAACATACAAAGAAAAGAAGGAAAGGGAATAAGAATGGTAGAGGCTTGAAATGAAAGAAGGGGCAGGAAATGTCGATAGAAGCAGGACAGCACCACATACAGGATATTAAAACATCCACAGATTTTGAATTAGGATGGCAGAGGCACAACATCTGTTAGATAATACAGAAATTTGACAGAAACTTACAGATGGTGATTCAACACTCAGATCATCAGTAAGAAATATAGAATTGAGACAAACAGTCATAGTTTTGGAGAAAAGGGGTCATCTTAGAAAGATGGTCCTCTTAGACAGTCTAATTATAATATCATTGGAAATTTGTGAGGAGGGGGGAGGAGTAGGTCGTTCGCCCAGTGGATTGTGTTGGACGGGTGATCGTTAGAGCAAGCTGACTAAACTTGAAATATCCAGATAGCAGCCGAGAAAAGACGAATCCAAATAGGTATCCAAATAAGGGTAACAGTCACAGAATGTGAAGAAAAAAAAAGTAATCTAAATAGAAAAGTGAAAAACAACTCAACACATCTACAGGTCAAAGCCTTGTAATAACAACCTCCCATCTCGCCCCCCCCCCCCATACACAAAGTCACAAACACATACAAAACTGATGAGAAAAAGAACAATTTGAAAAAGTATTCTCATTTTGTGTGTGTGTGTGTCAAAGACAGAACCCTAGGGGTTCTTCTAGCATGCACATTTGAGACTGTTTGCACAAAATTTCAAAGAACTGTTAGATTCAACAAAGACTTGGTGAATGCCCATCCTTGGAAGGAGAGAAACAGTGAAGTCAAAGAAGTGACCACACTTGTGACTCATGCCAAATCTTCAGTTAAAAATATGCACCACAAACAGGCCTGAATAAATAGAGAATAAAAGCGATAAATAAGAGAGGTGAAATATGAAAGAAACCAAGGTGGTTGTGGTTGTGGTGGTGGGGAATGGGGGAAGAAATCAGAGAAAAATCAGTGCGCTCGTGTGCCATGCACAGATGGACCTTTGAATAACAAACACACAAAAAAATTTCTAATCCGATACTGGAGGACAGAAAAAGAGATTTACGAAACATCTCTCTTTTCTAAACGAGAAAAGTGGGAAAGTGTTGAGTGAGTGAGTGTGTGTGTGTGTGAGTATGTGCTTGTGTGTGTGTTTGCAATGAGAAAAGTGGGCTAGTGCAAAGTGCGTGTGTGTGTGTGTGTGTGCTTGTGTGTGTGTATGTGTGGGTGTTTGTGTGTGTATGTTTGTGTGTGCAAGTCAGTGTATGTGTGTTTGTTTGTGTGTGTTTGTGTGTGTGTGCATTTGTGTGTGTTCATGTGTGTTTGTACAGGTGATTTTGACTGTTTACCCTTGAGTTTTTTCATTTATTTTTGTTAACCTATGGGGCTTCTGATTGTTTTATTATTTTCCTTCGATAGTCACTGAGGAGCTACACAGTACCTCAACACACTTATTACCATGTGTATCAAGACATCTGTGTACAAAGCAGATACATCATAAAAAGCCAAATTGTTTCCATGGGAAGAACATAGACACAATAGAGATTAAGAAACTGACATGAGGGGAAAGACAAATTAGACGGAAAGAAAGAAGAGAGTTTTTTTTTAAAAAGCCTTTTTCGGAATCTCTCTATCCCATTCTCGAATGTTCCAAAGTAAGTTTTGAGCACAAGTGGAGGAATGCTGAGTAGACACATGCGGTAGCAATGAAATTCCCAATTGTTGGCCCTTCAGCCACATATCTGAACATTTCATGCTGACTGACAAAGGAAAACAAAACATAAACATACCTCGTAGCAGCCCGATCATTCTTCAGCAGCCAGTCCACAAGCTCCTTCCCAACAATGCAGTTCTGGTGAGTGCGGAGTCTGATGCGGAGGGTTTGGGTTTCAACCCCAAGCTCTGTGTCACAAATCTGTCGCCACAACTCTCTCAGCTGCACCGAGTCCTGCAGGTGAGCAAATAACAATTATGGTAAAATTAGAACACTCAGGTTAAAAAAAAATACAATAGAAATAAAGAAGGGAATTATTTGGCAATCGAAAGACCATACAACACTACTATCCCTCCATTGGTTCTTCTAAACTCTAATTCAAATCGAATCCTTAAAATGACAGGATTCAAACTCCATGGCAAACAATTTTGAGAAAATGATATTCACAGATTCTCGCTCTTAGAGTTAAAATGTTTTTACAAGTGGTTAGTTAAAGTTAAAAAAAAGACAAGTCCAATTGTCTCAAATCTTTGACATAGGGTGCAGGGCATCAGCATCAGTAATGTGTAGTGTGTAACTCAGTTCTCGCAAAAAGTGGAGTTAAAACCCGGTCACTCTAAGGCCACGATATGTGCCTCTCAGACTTCACGATGATACTACAAGCCATATCTTCCCCTGTCTAGGCACCTATAGGTTCATATAACAGCTGTTTGTGATTCATAAAAAGATCTGTAAAAATTAATCAGCCTTTCTTTTGGTATAAATGCTTTCAGTCTTTAAAACAAAGAAAAAAGGAAGATAAGCTTGAATGCCAGTGACATGTCACAAAGAGGGTACTTAAGGAAAACTTATCTTAATGGAGACAAAATAAATAATAATAATAAATAAATAAATAAATAAATAAATAAATTACACTTTTATTTGTCCCAGAAGGGCACTTTGTTTTACAATGGCAAACATACATACATAGATACATATAATTATAAATGCGTACATACGTAAATACATACATGCATAAATACATACATAAATACACACTATTACACAAATACAGAACAGTTTACTAACAATGCCACTGTCGGTCGCCACTGTGCAGCGCCCTGTAATTTGAGCTAGGGTTGTCGTGTCTTGCTCAAGGACACACTCCAGTGACCACCCATCCGATCCCCGTGTCACCGACACTTGCTTGACATTTCTTGAGTCAAAACTCACTACTCACTTAGCCACTGGAGCCCCCGAAAGCCTACAATCCGAAGTAGTCTGTCTTATGTTTCACTTACTACTAGGAAATTTAGAGCTATCTTTAGCATAATTCATATGCTACTAAAGTAATCGTATGTCTAAAGATAATAGGAAACTTCATGTTCTCTTACTTGTCACTGCAAAAGTTCTTTAGATCTCAGTGCTGACTATTTTGCAACTGACTCCAGCTAAATGCAACTTGATACATCAAATGCACTTTGAACCATGGAGTGAATCATAGAAAAGTGCGAGCATATTAGAAAAGAACTCACTTGAATCAGCACTTTGCTCTCCAACAGTAAACTTTCCTGACTGGAGAACTCCGATAGTGGGGTCAGGTCAAAGGGCGTTGTGAGGTCAGGAGCCTTCAGACCCGGAAGGTCAGGCACTTGTTCTCCTCTGAAAGGAACAGACCATGAGACATGTCCTTTATCTTACTTTGTTTCCTCTACACTGACGCAGTCTCAAGGGCATAATACTGTGTGGAAACTCTGTTCCAACATTTTCAAAGTTTAAAAAAATGATTGATAACACATAACTACCAAATCTTTAATATAAGCTTTATAAATTCAAATATCCATCCTCTCTCTATCCCACTATAATGTTCAATTGTCAATGACATTTAGAATGAAAAACCTAATTCTTACTACTTTGCACTAGCCAACCATTTTGCACAAAAAATAAAAACTGGGACAAAGTTTTGGACACACAAACAGAATTACGACAAAAATCCTCATCTAAGTTGACAGCAGACACTTACTAAAAAAGGAACACAATAAATAGCATAAAATATTATTTTTTGCCAAGAGTATTCCCCATGTTTGAAGCCTTTTAATCTAGCTTTACTTTATGTCAAAATCAGCAACAAAAAAACCCAAAAACTTTCACAGCACAGGTCTAAGGAGTGTTCTTGAACAAGGCATATTGACCTATTTTAAAAACCAAGCACTCCCCAGACTCAACCAGCAATAGCATACTACTGTTCAAAGTTGATATTATATCAGGTAATTTTATTATAATGATAGTTGCAAAACAAATCCCTATATAGTGAGCAAAACTATGGGTAGGTTGTTTTTTTCTTTATGTGCATTCTACTTTCAGATGCACAGCCTCACCTGTACTGTGGAGAAAGATCTTCTGGCCCACCCACCAGCCTCGGCGACACAGAGCGGTTGCCAAAGTCAAAGCTGCCCGACTCATGGTCAATCTGGGACATGGCACGTAGGTCTTCCAGAGCTCTGACATCCCCCGTCGAAGCTGACTGCTGTGCATAACGCTGGACCACACGGCAGCAGTACGTGCACACTCGTATGCCACCTGAGAAAGCCCAGGACATGTTGGAATTAACTAAACCCAAAAAGGGGTAAAACATAAAAGGGGATTTTTTAAAAAGAAGATTTTTGGAGATTATATCAGACTCTAATCTTAACCAGCAGTTTTAGATTTATAGCCAATGATCCCATATATATCTGAGTAAAGATGAATATTTATGAAAAAAAAGGCCAACTCAACACACAGGTGACTTTGGGAGCTAAAAAGAAACGCATTAGAAATTGTCTTTATATATATACAAACAGGGAAGAAGAACAAATGAGTACTGACTGCATAAGCAACAAACCACTTAGCTAAGCTATGAATAATCTGTAACCATACCCACAAAGACACCCACCTTTGTAACCAATAATTTTCCCTGGCAACTCTTGGTTACAGCACTTGCTGCAGAAGATCTGGCCACAGATTCGGCAATGATGTCTGCGCCTGAAAGTGGTAAACTTATCACCACAGTCATAGCACTCTTTACAACTGCTGTCCGGCATCCAGTACTGTTTGAAGTCACTGTCTTTGTATGTTTGAGGTGTCTGTGAACGCAATGAATAGATAGAATATTCATCATGAGCAGAAAGCAAGATGGTAACTGATATTTGTATGGTTTTAACATCCCTCACAACACTACAAGGTCATTAACCGTTTGAGCCCTAGCCACCGGTACATCAGTGGTGCGTAAAATTGCCCATATGCCTAGCCACCGGTATTAGTAAGTAAATTTATTCAGTATTTAAGGCCACTGGCCCACATCACATCATATAAAGCACTCATTTGATAAATAAAGTTTCCATAATGAATAAGTACAGGCTCTAAAATATGTCTTTTATCGTGGGTCAAACATTGCATATTTCTGTCACTGGGCCAAGTCAGGCTGGGAGGGATTAACAATTTCCTTTCATGGACAAAGTGTGAACAATAGAAAATAAAGTGAAATTCATCTTCAATTTCAAGAGAGTTACACCTCTCACATAAGGGCGAATTTCCACTGATAGTGATTGTTATTGAATGGAAGGCTATGGGTTTTTAACAAAGCTATGACTCTTCTCCTCCAATACTATGGGAGGTTGGCGATATATTCAGCTGCTTCTTGAAACAGAATGGAAGGAGAGAATAAATTATTCATGCCACAGAATTCTTCCTCTATTTTCTGCACAGAATGATCAACACCGGTCAGCGAGACTCTATCCCTGACCTGGCCCATCTGGGACAAAATGCGCACGAAAAACAGGGTTTTCTATATAGGACGTTGTTGATTATTTTGAAGATCTTTCTGAGCTAGTGGTGGTAATAACGAGGACTACCCTGAGTGGAATATGGAATGTGATTCTGACGATAATATGAATCAGAGTAATATATTGCTCAGGAACTCAGACAAAGGGGCACGGTAGCCCCAGGAGGTCAGGGTTCAAAGGGTTAAACAGACAGGACCTCTCAATTTCATAGCCATCTCCAACAAAAGCAAGCCAAGTGGGGTTGAAAGCTTTATTCTTTAACTCTTTGTCTCCAGCAAGCTGATTCCAGCTGCTCACTGTCGGAACCGCTGTGCCTGTAAGCCGCTGCCAGCAGCTCGGGCACATTTCTATGACAACTTCTACGTCAAATTACTTTTCGACAATTGCTGAAAAGAAGTCTCTTCTATCAGTTCTTTCATTAGATGAATAACTACCAATATACATTCATTTGTTTCGATTTAATAACCAATTTAGTGATGTTTTTGTCACTTTCAGATTTCATTCGAATAGAGGGCCCCGACATAGTGGGTTCACCCCCATCCCTCCAGATAAAGAGTTAAATGTAGGAGTTTTTAAGCCCCCATCAACACATTTTAGATCATTTAGAAGATGGGCTTCCAACACTGATTGTCAGGGCTGAACCAAGCTGAGAGAGATACCACATCCCAGCAGAAGGACCGAGATACTTGATAAAAATGCTCCCCAATCGGGAATCACACTAGGGTCCCCCGCATGCAACAGCAAAGTACCTAATGTTTCACAACAGAATCATGTGTGGAGGTACATAAAAAAAAAAAAAAAAGAAAAAGATAAATACCGAACTACGTTGATCCAAGATGCTACTAAGTCGACTGAGCACAGAAGTGAGTGTGCGATGCGGTGGGACACGAGTACCTGGACCAAGGTTTTCTCCAGTATCATCCATTTGGTCCGTACCTGAAACAAAATCACCACAAGATGAAATCGCAGGCAAGTTGCTCAAATGTACTAAACCCAGAAAGCAAAATTTTTTTAAGAGAGAGGGAAAAAAACCTGAATAAATTTTTTAAATTGTACTTGTGTTTTTCTTCTCGTTTTTTTTTTTTTTTTACATTTAGAATTAGAATTTCATTTGAAATACGTCTTGTACACATGCAACTGATACAAATTAAGACACTACTATAAAACATGAAATTTAAAATGTTGTGCTTAGAACATCTGAACAGTTGGCCAATGTAATAAGTCACAACACAGTGGAATCCGTAGCTCCTCATTTTTTGACATATAGAATTATTGGTATCATCTTTTAAAGCTTAATTATCTCTCTTGCTTTTGATGGGAAAAAAATTAAAGATTCATCATGATTAGAATTTGAGATACATGTGATTGAAGGTGGTGAGGGTCACCTGGTGTCAAAATTAATATAAGCAAAATATGGCCACCAAAGTTTGGTGACTTTCAAGGCTTGAATGTCCTTGAAAACAGCAAATCACATATTTTGTAGCTCGTTCATCAACGTTTTTCAGTAAAATCCACAAAGAACTGTGTTCTTAAATGGACATAAAAATTAAATAAAAGTTGCCCACCACGCAGAAAAGTTTTGGTTCCTTTGATTTTATTATATTGACAAGCACATGATTTCACCAAGCAATGCATACAATAAACTTAAAATTTTAGTTTCATCAGAAAAAGATATAATAAGACAGACTATTTTGGTTTGGTGCTCTCTCACTGTCAGAGCTACAACCCTTTGGTTACGTTGTACAGATATGCTGGGTGACTGAAGTGTAAAAACCTTAAAGTCAAGAAATCAGTATATGCAAAAGAAAACACCAACAAAAAAAAACTGAAGGTAAATTCTAGTTATGGCATTCGTGCTACTCTAGAAAACTGAGACTAGACATAATAGTAAAAATGAAAGAAAAAAAGTAGTAGTAGATTACCACATCAGCACAGGTCAACAGTTCACAAACAAGAGCAACACAAAATGGTTGTTATAAATTTTCAGTAGACAACATTGAAGGGCAGGGGAGAAAAGTGATAATTGAGCTCGAGCTCAAAATTATAACGTCAATCAAACTGTTGCTGGTAAATCAACTTTCTTTACATTTTTTTGGCAATAACGTCACTTTACAGCTAAAACACAAAAGAACAAGATCACTCACCATCTGCATCTGTGACGGTACTACTTCGGCTACTCTGCCTTGAGAGACTGGCACTGTCCGGGGGTAATGACCCGGCCCTGACGTCATCTCGACTGACAGCCACCCCACTATCCTCCGTGAGCAGGGATGAGGTCGAAGCATGTGGGCTTCCATCTGGGCGAGTCAAGAAATATTAGAATAAATGTAAAAGCAAATACTGTTCTTGAGCTGATCTCATTTAAAAGAAAACAGAAAAACTACTTAAAATAGAGAACAGATTGTGTGGTGGACAAAACCCTTAACTTCTCATTAGGGGTGTTTGCGAGATTTGTGTAATGAAAGCCAATAAGGAGTTTTCTTGGCAAAATTAGGGTCGCTGTGAAATTAAACTTAAAGCATCTTTTGTATCATTTCCAACTACAAACATCAGTGAAATCAATATAAAAACATGCTTATTTGGGTGTTTTTTTACCTTAAAAATAAATAAACGGCCAGCTCCACTGAATATAGGACAAGACAAACTGCAAGAAGTTCTCTTGTGTCACTAATCAAGTATTGGTTAAAATCTTTGCTAAACAGAACAACATTGTTCCTTGCATGTGCAGTATCCCTGCATCCACTCTGGCTAGATGTAGTCCCGCTGCTCGTGAATGTACAGTTGAACTTGCTAAGCAAAAGTTGGATAATACAGTTGAAATAGTTCTGCATTTGAAGGGTCTAAGGACTGCCACAATGCAGTGCTGAAAACTTGTATCATATGGGTTGAGGTTGCAATTTAATGTATCCCATCATGTCTTTATTAATTGAAGATGAAAAAATCTGTAAATTGAAGATACAAATACAACGAATTCTATATGTTGGAGGGAGCTTTGTCTTGGACATGTCAGAATAGAAGAATCATGGCATGGGAATCTTGAAGGATGGCCAACCATTATTTTCCCTTGTTTTTCTGTCCACTTTCAAGTGAGTGAATTGTTTCTACTAAACAACAACTGAATCTAAGAATGATCACAAATTGAGTGTTGTTGTCATGAAGCTATTATCTTCAAAGCAAATTGGTGTGTGTCCCTTGTCACATAGCAGTACCAAGAATCAGAAACATTAATGGTCAAAGTTCGTCGTTCGAGAGTGTACCTAAAAAAGCTTTTGTTGCTTGCACTGTTGTCCCATTACCAAAATATAACTTGAAAGTTAAAAAAAACTGAAGTAAAAAACCCCAACAAAAGACATTTTAAAAGTTGCTAGATCATAAGAAAATGAACCTTTTCAACTACCTTTGCTTTTCTTCCATAATCTAGAGAAAAAACCTCCACTTGGTTTGACATCAGAGCTCAAAGCTCCAAACTCTGTAAAAGTTACAGGAGAGTCATCCCATATCTTCCGTTTGCTGGGATTGTTGTTTGCAGAGGCAGCCATGATGATGTGATGTCTATACTTAAAGTCTCATCCAGGTGTAAGTCAGGCATACATGAGCCTAAAACAAACCAAGTTGAAAATAAAAAAGAGAACTGTCATTCTTAAATAAGAATTCAAGTACAGATAAGATATCAAAAGCTATAATTATCGACTTAACAAGTGAAATAAACACACACAGCAGAAAATCTCCCAAAGACTATAGTATAGTCAAACCTGCTTTTATGACCACCTGTCCAGGACAAATCATAATTTGTTTATAAATTTAGCTCAATCCTTAAGGTTCCTAAAGATACCACCTCCCCGCCACCACCCTCTGATTTTCAACCCCTAACTTCCTTTCCATTCAGTGCTGATACCTTATCTTTACTGATCATTTTTTATCATTCTCCCTCAACAATGAATAGCCTTTGTTTACCAAGATATCAACCTTGGAATAAAATTGACACTTTGCAAAATTATAATAAAAACATGTAAACAAATGAAGCACACTTGTCAATAGCTTACCAGTTGTTGTTTTTTATGTCCATAGACTAGACCTCAGTAAAAGGGGTCCACATTCTTTGTCTCATACGATACTCGACATGGTACTTTGCAGTCAGTATTCTCCCATCACTGAATGTCACAGCAATATAGTTTTATTTCCACTACTTATTCATCCTGAAAGGAACCAAAATAAAAAAACATGGGAAAAGAGTGGTAAGAAGATTTTCTTTCACAGTTCTCAAATCACATTAATAACAGCTATCAATCAATGAATTTGAAGAGGTAAGAACTATAATATCTCCTCTAGCAGCTTCTCTGAACAAAGTATTTTAAAAAACTGGAAATCTCGCACACAGTGATGTTTTAATCTCTTGAGATAAGCTTCATTTTCTAAAAAATTGTCATTACAGTCAAACCTCATTATATAATACCCGTCAACCTTGGGACAAGCATAAAATTGGTGGAACACAGTGGCTGGCAATATGAAACGGTTTAAATGTTGTTGTAGTTCGGCTCAATTCGAAAAGTGAAATAGCCATAGCATCTTTGTAGACAACTAAATTAGCTTACTTTTGTGCTATAACGTCATTTTTAACATTTGTTTTAGGCCATCTGATCATCCATACCGATAGACATTATTCCGAATATATAGGAAAAAGAGGTCTTGTTTCACACCGGGAGAGAATAGCCAACGCTGGCAAGTCTCACCAGGGGTGAGAGGTCGATCATATTTTTATTCTCACCTCGGGTGAGGATAGCCACTTCCTTTGGTTCCTAATTGATAACGAAGTGGTTATCCGTACAATTGTGCGAACAACTCTGTCTAGTTATCCGTACAACATTGTTCGCACAACTGCGACACAATTGTACGAATAATTACTGTATAGTTATCTGTACAATAGTACATGCCCAAAGGCCTACATGCTCTGTCTAAGTAGATCAGTGTTTCCTATTTTCTGCCAAACCTCATATCTGCCGATCCGATGCCCGCCACCTCATTGATGGTGCCCCCCCATGTAAAAAAAAACCCCAACTTCATCTAGATCTAGATCTAGATACATACCACATATGTGTTGCGTTGAAACCGTGCTGTAAAAATATTTAAGCTTAATCTACCTTATTCTGTTGATAGTTCTGAAGGCCGAAATGACAGCGTGTCTGCATTTGAAGAGGTATTAAATATCTAAGAGTGTGGTTTCGAATCCCGGTCCTGGAAGCATTTTTTTTCTTTCTCTCTCCTCCCCCGACTGACCAACAATTTTTTTCCCATAATTGTTCGTTCGTTTTGACTTCAAAGATTTCCACTCACGGTTTTGTGTAAAAACAAAGAAACAGAGATCTAGTCATAGTCATAATATAGATCTAGGCCCTACTTATATTTTAATAAACAAAGTGACTATTTCTCCGAACGTTCGGGAAAATAAAGTTGAATTCTACTTCTTCGAACGGTTTCCAATCTCGAGATTTTTCAGTTATTTGCGAGATTTAGGGAGCGATAAAAAATTCTTGGTGCAACTTATCCTCAAATATACGAGTTCTGCTATTCTGCGAGGACGGGGAAAAAGTATTTTTAAAATCGAATTCAATTTCCAGAGCGAGAGATTTTTAAATGTCTGAATATTCAGATACTTCAGTTGAGGTTGGGGCAACCTTCCCGGACTAGATCTATACTTGATTTGGTACTGCAAGAAAACAAGACTGCTCGACCTTGGCAGTAACCAGTAACCTATTTTAAATTTAGTCACCCAGCAAAAACTAATATCCTTCTTGTAAAAAAAATTCCCCCCACACCGTTCACACCTTACACACACACACATACAGACACACACACACAAACATGACACATGCACACACACACGCACACACGGGCCACTCTGTTCGCTTATTATCATTCACAAATCTCGAGAACAGAAACCATTTGGAGAAATAGAGCTGGCCTTTACTTTAATAAAAGAATAGATATAAATTTCTCTTTAGGCCTACCAATTTAGGTTTTTATATAGATTATCTGTATTAATATTGATGCTCAACGAACAAACTCCAACTGGATGACTAATCTAGGCTTATTTTTACCAACAATCTTTTACTTCGAACTCGACTGCTGCACTAGCAGACGACTGACGTTCTCGGAAAAAAGATTGACCAAAAGCGGAACTAGACATGGCACGGAACTCTAATAAAACAGATTGCACACAAGCTGCACAGAAGGAAAAATGGGGAACTGGTCGCGCTCAGGCCACGGTCGCGCCAAGGGCGGATGTCTCTAGATCTAGATTCTAGGATCGAAGTGACTATTCGGACTCGAGTCCGAATGTGAACAAATGTATTTTGGACTCTGATTCTTGTCCAGCATGACATCACTTCTGACTTCCTGTGACTCGTGACTCCGGCTTCCTGTCCTGCCTCACTCGTGACTCGCCTCAGGCTGGGTAGAGACCGGGATCACTTCGGGCAAAATGGCGTTTTGTGCAGGAGCCGAGTTTTTATCTTATGATGAATTTGAGGCCGGCCTGAAAAGTTATAGCGCTTCTAATAAATGTTTATTAGTCAAGAGGTCACCAGAAGCAATTAAAGATGGCTCGTTAGCGTGTGTCGGGGTCGGATGGGCGGCCTGCACACGAGTGGCTGTGTGTGCGTGTCGGGGAGGGGGGCACTATCGGTCCGGGCGTTGAACGTCGCATACGCGTCAGTCTTTTATCCCCTGGCAACTGATCATTATTGCAATAATAAGCTAGTCTTGACTTAGATCTACGTAATTAATTGTGCGGTGGTCTATGGAATCAAAAGTTGCCGTATATGCTCGGCTCTACACAGCAACACAACTTTTTCTTGGTAAACAATCGAGATTACACAGGCTTGTATATTTGAACGAATAGGTCTTTTTTTGGGGGGAACCTTTTTTTTTTACACAGCTCATAATATTATGCAGGTGCCATGTGGTCTGCTAATCTTCAATAAAAACCTTTTTCTACAACAAAGAAAGCGGGAAACATGGGGAGTGGGGGGGCATATATCAATGAGGCGGCGGGCAATGGATCGGCAGATAAGGTGTGGGGGGAAACTGAACCCTGGAAGCGCGCAGGCCCTATATAAAGGGGGTGAGCCAGGCTACCCGGGAAGCGCGCACACCCTATATATAAGGCTGATCTACTTCGACCGGGAAGCGCGCAGGCCCTATATAAAGGGCATAGACGCTGACCCTTTTCAATGGAAAATTCCAGTGTTCCTTATATGGAAAATGACGTAGTCAATTACAGGCCAAAGTTATAAATAGTGACCAATGACTTTGCAAGTTATCTTGACCTCGTAGAGCATCTCTTGGCCGAGATATCGATCAATAAAGTGACGGGGTCCCGCTGAGGGACTACATGCTATGTAAATCACTTGTTTCGCCGTGCTGATGTATTAATTGTTGAGTCTATCGCGTTCTCGGCTTTGTTTGTATTTATTTGATCGCTGATCATTTTTGAATGGCTCATTCTATCAGCTTAAAGAAAATATATGCTTTTTATCATCCGTTAAGCCGTAAATGGTCATTTTTCAGTAGCAGGTATACATTTCAGGTATCTCAGCTGTTTCCCCCCACCAAACCCTCATGTTTACAACTGATCGGCCGTGGCGGCGGGGCATTTTTGGCGGGTTACTTCCGGTGAAACGCTGAGCGCTTCTAGGGTTAAAAATGGCGGAAAATTATAAGCACTGAACGTTAGATCTATAGAACCAAGACACTTCCTTTTTTCCGGACCAGAGTCCGAATAATATTTTTTCATATTCGGACTCGAGTCCGAATAAGAATTGTTTTTATTCGGACTCGAGTCCGAATATGTAAAAATGTTATTCGGACTCAAGTCCAAATAAAGACGGCCTTCTAGGAACTACAGTCTGTCTAGATCTAGATCGGCACTACTTGGATATGGTGGTCCCGACCTTTGTGTAGGTGTAGGCCTACTGAAATATCGATACTGATTTAAGTAGTCGGTATCAATGTCATGTTTTACGTTTTATCAGTAGCCTAGATCTAGAATCTAGATCTAGATCTAAATCTAGCCTACAAAATGAGCAGTAATATTTCACTTGTTTTTCTCAAGGCAAGCGGGGTTGCCCCTCTGACTTGAAAAAAAACAAAACATGGGGTGTTTCAGGGGATCTAGAATCTAGATCTAGAGTAGGCCCGCATCACCGCGCTACTGTTTTGGTGCGCAACCCCCGGTCTCCTGCTTTGTTTTGGATAAGAACAGCGAAAACGAGGTCATTTTCTGTGAGCATGCGCAGAATGCAGCTTATTTCACTTTCGTTTTGGAGGTTCCTGTCAACACACGTGATTCTACGGTGTCGGAAAGTTTTGC